CGCGGGGCCGGGGCAGCTCCGCCGCCGCAGCCAGCGTCGCCTCCCGCGGCTCCGGCCCCGGCCGGCAGCCACCGGCCCCGGCGCGCTGTCACCGGGGATCAAATCGGAGCGGCTCCGTTAGTTAATGCTGGAAAGCTACAAYAGCCGGTTTTTAGAGAGCCGCCCTTAGAACTGAAGGAACTGCCACGTGTCGGATCCGGTTACGTTTCCCGAGCAGCGAGGCCCGGTGCTGGGCAAYTCCACGGCTTGCGAGCTCGGCAGCTCGCGCGTTCTGCGCTCGTGCCCTCAGCCACCGTGTGGCCACCGAGTGCCCGAGCAAAGTCAGCAGCACMAGTAGGGATCAAGGCCCAGGGTCCAATACGTTAGTGTTAAATATTAAGACTACCTTAATAAAAACAAAAACTGTGAAGTCGGCCACAAGTATCTTCAGTTTAACAAGAAYTTGCAGGGAACTGCAGTACTTAAAGATAGCCTGGTAGAACAAACCAGGGTCCTCTGCGCTCCTCAACCACTCACAACATGCTGTTTTTTTTCCCCTTCAATATATAGACAGGCTTTTGTTAGTCACTGTTTTGTTTTGCATCATGGGGGAGTTAATTCAAAGAGATACCACTTGAATTTATATTAACATCTTAGTCTTTTTAGGGGACATGGAGAAAGTTTAGCCATCATTTATACTCAAACTGTACAACCTTTAGCGCTAGGTACTCTTTAAAGAGCAAAAATTGCCCCATCTCGTCTCTCTCTAACCAAATTTCAGCTTTTTATTTCAGCAAGCTGTGCATTTTCACCTGGAACAACATGCAARACTTTGGATGAGGGACTTCAGCCCACCTGGAAAATGAAGGGCAGAATGAAGCAGTTACTTYATTTAAAGCATCTCACAGTGTCAAAGACATTTTATCAATTCTCAGGGAATACTGACTCCAAGTAACTTTGATCAAGTCAGCTACTAACWAATGGGTACTTTTCCACCTGGAACATCACCAGTTTTCCAAAATAACACCCCTGCTGCTCACCTGGTGGGATTYTGCAAAAACTACCAGAATTTTCAGTCCACAGAACCTTAAAAATTTTAAACTCACAGCACAAGCATTCAGTTCATTGAAGAAGTGCTTCCAAAACACATGAGGTATTAGAGCAGAACAGCACCCCCGCTGTAATGGCTGTAAGCCATTCCCAAACCTCAGGAACGTGCCATTGATTAAGCAGCATTGTTCACTTTCAAATGTTAATCATTAGCTTACTATGGTAGAAAAACATCTTCAAGATGAAGAGATCTCTTTTAATACCTTCAAGGACAGGGATTTTGCTCTTAGGAAAACGCAAAGATTGCTACACAGAGAACGTGACAGAAGAATCCCACAGGCGGCAAASAGATCCTCTTACCTTCACATTCAGGAAAATTGTTTACAGAAATCACTTTTTCAAAAGCCGTATTTTTTTCCTCCTTGCACACAGCCCTGCTCTCACGTTCTGGGGGGCTGCCTGTCACACCAGATACCCCGATCTAGTGGTAGGCTGTGTGTGCTTGACAAGCAGAGAGGCATCTCCCATCAGGGATCCTTTGAATCACACCTAAAACCCAGAGAAGGTTAACGAAGCTGGGCCGTTTCCACAACGGAGCATCTTTATTCAAGCAGCACGCGGAGYGGCGGCTGCGAAGGCCTCGCGCGGGGCCTTGGCGGGCGCTCCTAGGGATCCCAGCCCTTTCCGCCGGGCTGCTGCGGCAGCCTGAAGCCCACGAGSCCCGCCACCTCGCGCGGCGAGCGCTCCCCCTTGCCGTGGTACTCGTGGTGCAGGGCCAGGTGCTCCCGCACGCTGCGCAGCAGGCACAGGTACGTGGCCGCCTGGAAGTGCAGCTCCTGCTGCGCGCGGCACAGCTTCTCGCTGGTCACCTGCGGAGAGGACGGGGCAGGCACTTGGACGCGCCACGCGGCGGCCGSGGGCACGAGGGCGGCGGGGCGGCCCGCGCCGTACCCGGTGCGCGCGGAAGGCCGCCATGACGTGCTGGTAGGCGGGCGTGTCGCGGTAGGGGCGGCCCGCGCGGGCGCTCGCGTGGCGCAGCTCGCGCAGGAGGCCGCGCAGCGTGCGCAGCGGCGAGCCCAGCGCCGCCATCTTGCGCCCCTCCCGCACACGCCCTGCGCTCCGCCAATCGGGGCGCCGCCGCCTCGCCGCGCCAGCCAATAGGGAAGCGGGGCGGGGGGCGCCCGCTTCAACCTTCGCGCCTCGACGGCATCTCGCGGGAGCGCGGGGAGGCCCCGCGCGCGCCGGCCAACGGTCCGGGCGGCGCGGGGCGGCCAGCGCAAGCTATCGAGCACCGAGCCGCGCGATCGCCGCTCCTCTCTCGCCCCCTCCCCTACCCGCCCTTTGCTTGGGTCAAGTGCAGAAAGTCGAGCGCCGAGCGGAGGAGGCGCATGCGCCGGGGCGGCGAGGAGGGGGCCGTGCCCACGTAGCAGCGCCCGTAGGGTCCCTCGCGTGGACAGATGAGTTTTACTTTGCTTGTTAGAGTCAAATCAACTAAAAAAAAAAAAAAAAAAAAAAAACTTGGATACGACACCACCAGCCATTCAATTCTCAAATTCTGCGGCTTTGAAGTTAAATTCGCCAGTTTAATCGGGCTGAACACGCGAGCCGTAAGGTGTTTCAGGTTTGGAAAGGCAGGGGCGTACTGCCGCGGGCGAAGGGTCGCGGGGGAAGCAGAGCAGAGCAGAGCAGAGCAGCCGCCTCGTTAATCGCAGGCTCCAGCGCCGCGCACGGGACTCGCGCGGGGCCAGGCTCGGGCTGCCGCGACCCTGCGCGTCGCTCCCCGCGCCGTCTCGGCGCGGAAAGGCCCGCACCGCTGTCTTGGGGACCAAAAGAAGAGGCTGCGGGAGGCAAAATGGCACCACCCCAGATGGGACTCGAACCCACAATCCCTGGCTTAGGAGGCCAATGCCTTATCCATTAGGCCACTGGGGCTCCCGCAAAATGCAGTCTTCCAGCCCCTTACTTATGCCTTTCCCCGCCCCTTCCCTTATATGGACCCCATTGTTCTACATTCGAACTTCCCCATTGGGCAGCTGCTCCTCGCCGAGCGAGGGACGGTGCCGCGAAGCCTCCTGGGACCTCTCCCCCGTGGGGGGCAGGAGGATCACGCAGGGGCTGCTGGGAAGAGTAGTTTGTCGCAGCAAAGGCGGGAGCCGCCATGGGAAACGCTCCTTAAATAAGCGACGGGGTTTTTATCCTCAATGATTTTTTTTCAACTTTTTTTGAGGGGAGGGGGTACAGTTTGGCTTCCCTAACAAAACAGAACAAAAAATTACACATACTACACACGCACCCCCCCCTTATTTCTTTATTCCTCCTTCCTAWCCACTCCCCACACCCAACAGAAGCCCTCCCAAAAAGGTTAATTATATGAACCCTCCCTCCCTCCCTCAGATAAAAAAATAAAATAAAAATAAAAGTGTTAAACCTTGGTGTGAAATTACAGAGGCACGGCTAATATGTACATTCCTCTTTATTTAATACAGCACGGACACATGACACGTACAAAAAAAGAAAAGTACACTCATGGAAAAGAAGCCTGTCGCAGTCAAGGACAGGGAACAGCTACACCATATCGAGTAAGGCTCTTGCTGCAGAACAGGCGCCTGCCAGCTTGCATCCCAGAGCAAAGACTGCTGCTGCTGCTAAAACAAACACATAATAATAATAATCTTTGCAGCACTCCTGTCAGAAAGGTGGAAAATGGAAGGGAAAGTTACCCCTGGAGCAGGTGAAACACGCATCAGCCTGCAGGAATTACACCATTAGGTAGTCGCAGGGTACACATACCATCGTCTTTTTGGACCAAAATATTGTCAGGGATTGTCACCCTGCATGTCTGAAGGAGTGAAAAGATCAAGAAGTCGAACAAAAGAGATTTAACTTTACAAGTCTCCCTGATAGGGCTCTGCTAGCCATAACGGGAACGCAGGCTGGCTTCCCAATTAAAAGATAAAAAAATATATACTAGCAGCTATTAAACTGATCAGAACAACATACCCATATCTGGAACTGGTGCAAGCTTTTGCAGCAGCAGCTTCCCCATTTTCCGGCTTCAGTTCAGGATAGAAACTAAACAGGCACCAGTTCCTCTGTCAAAGAGCCTTACACATTAAAAAAAAATACAAAAGAGGGAAACAGGTGTATTTACAAAAATCCATGGCTGGTACAGTACATCATTTTTAAGACACACTAAATGCTACAATCTTTCAGGTCCTGAGATTATTACAAAAAAAAATCCATAAAACTTGTGTTCAGGTCCAGTTTCATAAGAAGAGAGGAAAGAAATTAAATCACATTTAAAATACAGTAACCCTTGAAGTTAGTGGAACACATCTCCCTAAAAACCCAAATGAAAGCGGTGCTAGTCACCCGGATGTAGCTGTATTTGGTTGTTCAGCTGTGTTGTTGCAAGAGGGGGAGCATTTCACACGGGAGTACTCTGGGGAGCCCGAGCGAGCACGCGGCTGTCCGGGTGCCCTCCACCGCCAGGCTCCGTTTGCTCTGAAGCAAGCACGCATTAAGAGCGGCAAGGTGACCTCGCACAAATGCACGATGGATTAAATAAAGCAGCACTACAGGATCTGCGACTCGCACAGGTTTGCCACCGCGTGCGAACTGTGCGTTCCTTTGTTTGAGACCGAGACTACCCAGAACCGTAGCTGTTGCCGAGTGCTTGTTTGTAACGAACAGGTTTGTTCCAAGATGCACACTAAAAGGCAAGAAAAACGGTGTCTGTCTTTCCCAGCCCCTCACTTTACGTGGCCTCATTCGTTTTCATCACCAGCCAGCAAGAATGTGGCTATTTTCAAGGTTCTTAAAAACATATGCGCTAACCATGACAACAAACAAAGCATGTCGAGGCCAGAACTCTGTCAGTGGGGGATTCTGCCCACGATCGGCAGCACAGCAGCGTGTCTGCAGCCTCTGTTCTCCTGTGAGCCTCGCCAGGCAGAGCCAGAGGGACTCGCACCCTGTCACACCTGCGTGTTTTCTCTTTCAGTGACATATTCCTAACACAGCGCTTYTGTAGCTGTAGAGGTTATAACCACACTGACGCCTTTTTGTTACAAGCACCTGACTTACAAGCTAGAAAATGCAAAAATTTTAAGGATTACTCATGAAATGCTTCTAACCCTCCCTCAGGAAAGGACTACAAGAGACAAATCACACAAGGGTACTACTTTAACTGCTAAAATATAACACTGTTCAGTAGACTTTGGGAGAAATAGTAATGAATTTTGTATTTTTTTTTTAAACAGTAGTCCAAAAATAGTTTTTTCTTCATCTATTTCCAATATGGATCTTGAGAGCTATGCAAGAACATGGTACTAATTGCTACGTGATGGAATTACTGCAATAACACACACTACAGTTCTCACCTCTGAGCTAAGCTGTTCTTTTGTAATTACATACAAGGCTAAAATGTCAGTGAGAAATACATGGGTAAATCTCAATTCAGTTTTAGTTAGAGATTCAGCTGCTACATAGCTAAAACCTCCCCTTGTTTAGAAGAAACTTCATTTACGTAAGGAATTGACTGAATATACTTCTGATACTGGAAGGAACACAGGATGTCTCTCACTGGCTTCTCCCCAAATCCAATCTATACATAAAAAAAAAGAAAAACCTGCTGTAGTTTCTTAAACTAAATTTTGGAGCTGAATATTCCAAAAGCTCGTGGACTAAAACTTGTCACAAGAGGTCATATTAGCGTCCCTCTTAAAGCAGTTTCATGACACTTTTGACACTAGGTGCTGCACCAGGGAAAGGGTTTCTCTTAAAATACAATTTTCTTTCTTTAGGTTAGCAAAAAACAGTTCTGCAATACCGATGCTCAAAAATATTCCATTTTCTTTGGGTAAAATTTCAACATGTGTTAAAAGGTGTGGCTCGGGAAAGAGTGTGTTTAACACTGAAACATACAGAGAATACTTATCTGCATAGTTGATATTACTGACTACTAATCAAACTAAGGCCTTATCTGGAAAAAAAAATGAGAACACAGAAATGTTTCTTCTCCCATCCCCTGCCCACTGGGGATATGTGCTCTGTCTCAAAGCAGCTCTGGCTGCCTCCACAGCTACTTCTTTTGGCTTGGACCTGATGGTACCTCTTCACTGGTATTTGTTGGGTTCTCTCACCTCCTTTCTCCTGGTGTTGAACAGTAACAAACAAACAAACGTATTTTCTGGCAAGATACATCAGCACACCCTGCTAGGCCAAAAAAAACCCAGTAGTATTGAGCATTATAAAAAAGTCAAAAGGTAGTGAAAACTATTTGTTTAGGATTACTTCACTATAAAGGCAATAGTTAATGGTTATTACATAAGCAGAGAAGTTTGCAAGGAAAATCAGACCGAAATTCTTTTTGAAGTCACAAAACACACAAACCCAATTCATTTCCAGAGTTGCTTTGTAGATTTATAGCTGTCAAGAACTGGCTACAAAATACGGACCTTATTCCTTGACTACCGGCAAGATTACTACAGCATCATTTATGAGGAGTGTGCAAAACYGGCTGTAGGAAATCATTGCATTTCCCCAGTTTTGGGTTAGTTTCAGGCCATGCTGATCTCTCAGCATAACTTATAGCAGCAACGGGACTTCTATGGCCCCAAAAGGCTACAATACAGCAGCAAGGGATCACTGGATCACAGGACAAGGATGATCAAGCTACACCAGAAGTTTCTGCAACAAGAACATTTCCCTACACGACTTCTTATTTTTCTCCAGTAGCCCAGCAAGTCTACTTCTGGCTGCTTTACATTGGCAGTGATTACTTAAAACAATAAATGGACATTGATTTTTGAGAACAGCCACAGCTGTTAAGAACACTGCAACAGTCAGCACTGATCACCAGTCATAGTTTTTTTGTCTACCAAGTCAGTCAGAGATAAGGGAGCAGAGGTGCCTCAAATGAATTAAACAGCATTAGAAAAGCCAAGTTACTCGTACAACTACTGGTTTACTGCCAGGCTAACTCCCCTGGAGTAACTTTGCTGGCATCTCCAAGGCAGATGAGGAAGCGCTGGGGTCATCACTTCCACTGGCCAAGCTACCAGCAACACCAGCAACTGTACCAGCTC